CTACTGCTACTACTACTACTACTACTACTACTACTACTACTACTACTACTACTACCAGTACTACTACTACCAGTACTACTACTACCAGTACTACTACTACTACTACTACTACTACTACTACTACTACTACTCTACTACTACTACTACTACTACTACTACTACTACTACTACTACTACTACTACTACGACTACTACTAATACAGACGTGACTTCATAAAAACGTTATGAAATACAAATGATAACTTTCACAGTATAAACTGATATGAAATGAAAAAGTTATAAAGCAACATACATAAGTTATATAACTAGTATTTTCACATAGATTGCAAATTTTATATCCAAAACTAATTAGAAGTGAAAATAGGCTGATTATTAAATAGTGAATAATTGATTTTTGTAATCCATGTAAGATTGAAATAAACTTGGATAGATCTAATGTGTTTAAATCGAGATCATCCATTATTATTATTATTATTATTATTATTATTATTATTATTATTATTATTAGTAGTAGTAGTAGTAGTAGTAGTAGTAGTAGTAGTAGTAATGTCTTTAATCAATACTACAGTTTTGATACAATATACAATTCACAGTAGAAGGTATTTCAACAAGTTCCCATGTTGGCATAGGATGATGATGATGATGCTTTGGATGATGATGATGATGATGATGATGATGATGATGATGATGATGATGATGATGATGATGATGATGATGATGATGATGATGATGATGATGATGATGATGATGATGATGATGATGATGATGATGATGATGATGATGATGATGATGATGATGATGATGATGATGATGATGATGATGATGATGATGATGATGATGATGATGATGATGATGATGATGATGATGATGATGATGATGATGATGATGATGATGATGATGATGATGATGATGATGATGATGATGATGATGATGATGATGATGATGATGATGATGATGATGATGATGATGATGATGATGATGATGATGATGATGATGATGATGATGATGATGATGATGATGATGATGATGATGATGATGATGATGATGATGATGATGATGATGATGATGATGATGATGATGATGATGATGATGATGATGATGATGATGATGATGATGATGATGATGATGATGATGATGATGATGATGATGATGATGATGATGATGATGATGATGATGATGATGATGATGATGATGATGATGATGATGATGATGATGATGATGATGATGATGATGATGATGATGATGATGATGATGATGATGATGATGATGATGATGATGATGATGATGATGATGATGATGATGATGATGATGATGATGATGATGATGATGATGATGATGATGATGATGATGATGATGATGATGATGATGATGATGATGATGATGATGATGATGATGATGATGATGATGATGATGATGATGATGATGATGATGATGATGATGATGATGATGATGATGATGATGATGATGATGGTTGTACTTTAGAGTAAGTTGTACAATGAAAGATTGTAAACTTTTCATAAACACACATGGATAGGGTATAAGACTAATAGACATAATGATGTGTTTAAACAAACTATTTTTTCCAACAAATTCTCTCTTCTTAATTCCCGACGATCCTGACGATAAATATTGAATGATCCTTGATTAGATGTCAGCAATTTAACAATCGACATCTGAATAATGTTTCTTATTTACAATGTATAATGCTTGACAGCTACTATGATATATCTGATAATGATGATTGTATTTTAGTGTAAGTTGTACAATGAAAGATTGTAAACTTTTCATAAACATACTTGAATAGGATATACGATTAATGGACATAATGATGTGTTTAAACAAAAAAGTAACTTGTTGAAATATATTCATGACAACAAGAATAGATAGTCCAGATATTCAAACAGGCTGTCAATATCTGCCTCCAAAATATCCTGTTCTGTCAAATATTGATATATATATAACCCTGTCGAGTATATACTATACCTTTATGCACTAAAGTACAACAACTAAGTTATTTTCACACTGAATTCTATTCCAATACTACACAGATTGACAAGGAGTATTCATTCATGTAAGTAAACAAGAAAAAATGTATCTTAAATAGTTATCTAATGTATTCCCTGAAATTAATATTGTCTCATATAAATGATTTAGATTAAACTACTGATTTGTTAATTATACTACTGATTAATAACAATTTAAACTATTTTAAATGCTATATAAAAAAGGGGAAAAAGCAAGGTCCTCAAATACAACATGGAGAACATCAATCCCCAATCAAAATCGATAGTGAAGCTCTGGAAGATGTAGAATCCTTCATATACCTGGAAAGTATCATCGATGAACAGGGTGGATCAGATGTAGACGTAAAGACGAAGACTGGTAAAGCAAGGGTCTCATTCTTACAATTGAAGAATATATGGAACTTAAAACAACTGTCTATTAACCAATATTAAAGTCAGAATCTTCAATACGAATGTCAAGACAGATAATTCTACTGTACGGAACTGAAAGCTGGAAAACTGCCACAACCATCATTAAGAAGGTACAAGTATTTATAAATAGTTGTATACGCAAGATATTCAAGATGCATTGGCCGGATACTATCAGCAACAGCCTTTTGTGGGAGAGAACAAACCAGCTTCCATCTGAAGAAGAAATTCGGAAAAGATGATGGAAATGGATAGAACATACATTACGCAGATCATAAATCTGCATCACGAGGCAAGACCTAACTTGAAATCCTGAAGGGAAGCGGTAAAGAGAAAGGTCAAAGTATACATTACGTCAGGAAATAGAAGCAAATATGAAAAAGATGAATAACAACTTGGAATAGCTGGAAAGGATTGCCCAGGATAGGGTTGGATTTCGAGTGCTGGTGAGCGGCTTATGCTCCTTCACGAGGAGTAACAGGAGTAAGTAAAAAAAATCATTACATTATACTATGGAAAAAACTCATTTACTTGATGAATAGGTCAATGAATTATTCAATGAAATCCTTTTTAGAAGTGTACTGAACGAGAACATCAACGAGGACAACTGAATATATTCGAATACAAAAATAACAGTTGACAAAATGTTAATCAACTATCTCAGATTTCGCTGTTCCTTTGTTTCCACATCAATCATTCTTTATTCTCATTCTCTCTCCTTGGATTGTCTTAACCTTCTGCTGGTAGGCATTTCACTTTCGATTAATGATATATATTACTGATATCGATCGATATCAGTAGCACACATCACAGAAATAATCCGACAATTGATTGACTTGAAGATTTTCATTTATTTATAACAAACTAATAAATTGAAATGATCAGAAAAAACAGTGGGGGAGGGTGAGTGTTGTGGAAATTGCAGTAATTGTTTAATCGTTGAATTGATGAATTGATTAAAGCCATGATCATCAATGAAAACCTACAAGCACTAGATGGCTGTTTCATCCTAGCAACTAGATTTTCCATAATGGTCATAGCTTTATTCCATCTACGCATTGAAATATATTCATCTATATGAGAAGTTCTAATTAAGTAGATGTGTATTCCATTAAGCTCTGTGAAATAATTAAAGTTCATCAGGTAGATAGAAACATAGAATACATTTCATTAATTATACAATATAACAAGGTTTCATTGTAACAACATATTATGTTTAAAATAGGCAGCAATAATGTTGTACTATAGAATTAAGGTCGGATACAGACTGCTGGTTGACGGCCTATGATCCTCCACAAGGAGTAACAGGCGTAAGTAAATAAGTAAGTAAATAATAGAATTACATTGAATGTTTCACTATAGTGGATCATGGAACTAATCATTACTAAACATTCGTAGATCACTCGATATATATCGACAGGATCGTCAAGAATTAAGAAGAGGAAATTTGTTGAAAAAATAGTTTGTATAAACATATCATTATGTCTGTTAGTCTTATACCCTATCCATGTGTGTTTATGAATAGTTTACGATCTTTTATTGTACAACTTACACTAAAGTACAATCATCATCATCATCATCATCCGAATCATCATCAGAAACATTATGTAGGTGGTCAGGCAATATACATTTAGATATGAATTCATGAACTGCTAACATGTCATTGCCAATCACTTCAATATTTGTCATCAGTATCGATCAAGAAATAAGAGAAGGGAACCTGTTGAAATACTTTCTATTGTGAATTGTATATTGTATCAAAACTATAATATTGAGTGAACTCATTAATAATAGTAATAACAATGAAATGTACTTTGATGAAATGATTATTGAGTCTAATAATAACTCGTAAATTATTCTCAGAGATAAAACAACCATATGACTATTGACAAGATCAAACAGTTTATTGATATACTGCTTGTAGGCTAAAGTAATTCTACATTGGTTTTCAAGAGAACTAGACTTTCATGTGACAACCCAGATAATATAACTCAATCCCGCTTCACAAGAGAATCAGACATCGTATAGATTTTAGCGCTACAATATGAATAGTAGAGTTCAATCCTGTTGTGCAACCATACAGGTAATAAGCACCCAGGTGGATCATTCGCATCATTCATATATATAAAATTATACCGATCATTGATTACGTAAACTGATTATGAACAGTATGAATAGGCCAAAGTTGACCTATTCCACTTACATGACAATTAAACTCATTAATGTTAGCAATGGTGACATGCTTTACAATGACCCATAAGAACACTGAAAAGTAACTACCAATATAAATGAAATCAATTAACTAACACATCAATTTAGCAAAACTTTCCAAAGTGAATACCAAACCATCCATCATATCAATGACAAACTATCCATCTCATATGAGATCATCAATTTAAGATGATGGAGAAGATTTGTAGCTCAAATGGATGATCTCTGATAGAGTTTTGTTCTCTGAGCTGAATGGTTTAGTCCAGCTCAGAGAACAAAACTTCATCAAAGATCATCAATTCTACAATAACAATACAAGACAATTTAAAGAGAGAAAACAAAAAGAATACAACTTACTCTAGCTGTTTGATTTAATCCAGTAAATTCAATTTCACCCATATATTTTTGCATAATTGATGGTCTTCTTATACTAGATTGTTGATGTTGTATTCCACTATTATTTATTCCACTAGTTATCATCATATTACCAGTTGTATTATTATTATTATGATCTTGTCCAATTGAACCAGTTCTACTAATACGATGTTTTATGGTGGATGTACGTTGAAATGGTATTTGTTCTGTCATGTATAAATGAAGTATTTAAATTGAATATGATCTATTTCAATAGATTCCTTTCAGTATTCAATGTTTTGTTTTAATTAAAGTTTAATTTAACAATTCAATTCTTGATATGATCTTGATATTCATTGAAGTAATCAATAGTATAGATTATCTTTTATGAAATAATTGTGGAAATATCATTATCAGTTTATATAAGATGAAGTAATGAGAATCAGTGAATGGATGATCTTTTTCCAAGAATGATCTTTTACATCAGATCATGATCAGATTCCATGAAGGAAGACTATTATTTCATTGATGGTGAATTCTGTTGATTTTCACTTTTAAAAGAAAAAGAAAAAAAAAGAGAAATACCATAAAACTAATTTTAAAAAAACTTGTTTTTCAATAGAGAACATCAACACCACTACAAACGTACAAACATACACAGACACACATGCACATATATATATATATATATATAGACATAGATACACAAATAGACAAATCCCATCTAAACAATAATCATCTATTTCAACCAATCAGATTATTTGGGAGAATATTATTTCTTTTCCTATCTATTTTATTTGTTATGATAATAAATATTAAAGGTTAAACGCCTAGCACGAGACTGAGAGGTTCTGGGTTCGAATCTCGCGGACTGCAGGATTGTGGATGCGCAATTCTGAGGAGTCCCATACTGGGACGAAACGGCTGTCCAAAGCTTCCAGGTATTCCATGTTGATCTAGCTTTAATTGACTCATAATTTCAACCAGAGAATTTTTAAAGGTACCATTTAAGTTTCATGATTTAGTCGGTATTTCACTTTGTTAATGAATTAAATGAGGTTCTGGTTGTTGTTGTTGTTTTTGTTGGAATTGTTAAAATTCAATGTATTACTTACTTACTTACTTACTTACTTACTTACTTACTTGCTTACTTACTTACTTACTTACTTACTTACTTACTTACTTACTTACTTACTTACTTACTTACTTACTTACTTACTTACTTACTTACTTACTTACTTACTTACTTACTTACTTACTTACTTACTTACTTACTTACTTACTTACTTACTTACTTACTTACTTACTTACTTACTTACTTACTTACTTACTTACTTACTTACTTACTTACTTACTTACTTACTTACTTACTTACTTACTTACTTACTTACTTACTTACTTACTTACTTACTTACTTACTTACTTACTTACTTACTTACTTACTTACTTACTTACTTACTTACTTACTTACTTACTTACTTACTTACTTACTTACTTACTTACTTACTTACTTACTTACTTACTTACTTACTTACTTACTACTTACTTACTTACTTACTTACTTACTTACTTACTTACTTACTTACTTACTTACTTACTTACTTACTTACTTACTTACTTACTTACTTACTTACTTACTTACTTACTTACTTACTTACTTACTTACTTACTTACTTACTTACTTACTACTTACTTACTTACTTACTTACTTACTTACTTACTTACTTACTTACTTACTTACTTACTTACTTACTTACTTACTTACTTACTTACTTACTTACTTACTTACTTACTTACTTACTTACTTACTTACTTACTTACTTACTTACTTACTTACTTACTTACTTACTTACTTACTTACTTACTTACTTACTTACTTACTTACTTACTTACTTACTTACTTACTTACTTACGCCTGTTATCCCCACCCTACCAATGGAACATAAGCCACCGATCAGCATTCTCCAACCAACTCATTCTGTCCTCGACCTCCGTTTCAACTTCTATCAAATTGTTGTTCATTATTCTCATATCATCCTACATTTCTTGACGTAATATGTTCTTTGGTCTTCTTTTTCTACTTCTTTGGCTTTGAAGATTCCAAGTGATGAGGGATTGCCTTACGACGCAGCGGGGTGATTTTCTCGATGTGTGTTCTATACACTTCCAACACTTCTTCCTGATTTCTTACTCCACTGGCTTGTTCTGGTTTGTTCTCTCTCACAGTAGGTTGTTGCTGATAGTGTCTGGCCAATGGATCTGAAGTATTTTGCATAGACTCTACATTAAATCTATTTAGATTTCGTTCAAAGTCGATTATTTGTATTAAAAGTTAACCTTTTGTAGAGATTAGCAGGTAATATTTTGCTTAAAATTTCATTATCTTATCACTTGTGCTTCTCTCTGACCCACATCTCTACGTAGGTACTAAACATTTGGGACAGTATGAAATCAATGTTCAGTTTTTCTGTTCTGTCACATATCATCAAGTTTCAGTTCAAGAGACATTAATCATTGGCACCTCCACTAACTCAGAAAAATAATTTGTAAAACCTGGTATATGTTAGAGCATGAAAACTTCTTAATTTAGATAGATTGATATACTAAGAAACCATTTTCCTTCGAATTTGACTCAGCTATGTTTGATTTAAATGTTTGCAATTATTAGAATACAAGAGTTCACGATTGTAGATCACTTAGACAGAATCATACATCAATGTATTACCAGAACACCAAATATCTGAACCACGTCTTTTTTGCTGTACAGACCCCACTTATATAGTCGAACACACTCTGAATTAAACAACGTTCTTGTTGTTGTTGTTGTGGGCGTCATAAATTCAAAGACATGATGAATACATTTGAAATATCTATAGTTGTTTAGTTGAAGTTGTTTAAATTATGAGTAACTTTTGAATGAATTGTCATTAAGTAATTAGATGATGAATTACAATTAGAGACGATCTGAAGTAACTGTCAATCTAAAGTCGAGATAAAGGAGAAGAGTTGGGTATAGGGTCAGTGACCTTATCCCGTAGAAAATGAACTCACTAAAACAAAATGTTACTGTATTAGATTATATGTATATTCATATTTCTCTTATTATAACCTTTCATTTGACCTATTGACTAGTATTATAGAACATTCCTATTGGATTATTATTAAGTAATTAGATTATATTTACAATTGGTTCATCACTGGGTGGTGATCAATGCCGTATGCGTCAGGTTCTCAAGATTACAAGTACAATTTGCTGATGAGTTTCAAGTAGCACAAAACCTATGTCTGCGATTTCCTGCTGACTACCTCCAATCACTATCTTATCTCAACATAATGCACACAATTTCAAGTCACCTAGACTAGTGGTCACATTGAAACTTGGTCGATAAGATTAGACTAAAAATGATCTAATACACATGATATTGATCACCACTTAGTGATCAATCAATCGTTAATACATCTCAGTCCTACAGGAGGTCAATCGCGACCCGGATAACCCAGTAGTACCGTCTCTGACTGTGAAGCTGGGTGACACGGGATCGAATGCATCAATGAGTACCAGTGTACTACAGGTACACCTTGCTGACCAGTGCCAAATAGCACGAAACCAATGTCCACAGTTTCCTGTTGACTACATTAAACCACCATGTTAGCTAGATTATATGTATATTCATATTTCTCTTATTATAAGATTTAATTTGACCTATTGGTTATTGTTATATGATTTACTATTCTTAATTTATCCTCAATCTATTAGTTACAGTCTCTTACACTCATTGCAACTTTCTGGCCTGATTTTGTATAACGGCTATTTTTCATTTAATCGTGTGATGTGATCTATTCTGGTTGTGTGTAAACTATGTGTATGTCTAATATATATGGTCTATATAGCGGAGCTGATATTTGTGTTCTGAACTGAATGGGCTGAGTTAGACAAGAAGTTACTATACAGTGAACTAATAAGAACTGAGTGGATCCAAAGCTATTAATGTCGTCTTCATATGTCATTCTTTTATTATAAGAACAAAGTTATATAATTTAATGTTCGGAATAACGATTTTGTTATGTTATATTTGATGGGTTAAACAACATTACACCTACCAATCCAGTACTAATAACAGTTCTAATTTTTCAATTAAATACCGAATGTATGTAGAAATAACTGACATCCTATTAGTTTAAGACTCTTGATCAATTCACGAAATCCATCGTAAAGACAGTAATCCTACTGTCTGATTATTAAATTGTGCACAACAGTCAATTAATGTGGCGGTTGGCACTCTGGACTCTGAATCCAGCAACCCGAGTTCGAGTCTTGGCGAGACCGCGTGCTGTGAGCACTTTGTCTTCAAATGCCCTGGTACGGCCGAGAGTGGAAAGAGATAGCTCTCCCTCTCCAAATGCTCTCGTATGGCCACGCGTATATAGCTTCTGCCACACAAGTCCTACTCACTGCCTTCTCGTTGCATTACTGTTGTTTATGAAATTGAGAGGACGAAAATTGAATGTCAGGCGCTTTAATCAGGCCTGTGGACATGTAGGGTCCACCTAGGGTAGTTGGAAAATCCTGATTCCAAACCAGTGGTGTACATAGGCTCTAGTATCCTGATGGAACAAATGGCGTATGAACCAATAGTTGATCACCGGTCACCATGGGACTGTATCTCCTTACAATGCTCCACCGCCATGTGCATCAGACATTTAGATTCATCTCATTAACTCATTTTAGTTTGTCAATGGTTGAAAATACAAAGAGATTGTATGACTATTTCGTTTTAAACACTTTTCAAACATAGTTATCCAGTGCTTCTAGATTTTCAGTCATTGTCTATTATCAATTAGTGACAATAACTAAGCAATCTGACAATCTATAAATAAAGATAATTTGAGACTGGTCAACTAGATCTACTTACATCACAGAGAGTTGATGTCCACTCCTGGACTCGAACTCAGTACCATTCGCTTCAAACACTATCACTTCATCTATTTAACTATTAAGTCCAGATAGCAACTAACTTGTACAATGGGGGTGATTAAAATTAATCTTATAGATACAAATGATTGTTTTTCTAACAAAACTATTAATTACAGATTAACAGAAAAAAATTATTGATTAAAGTCTATTTATATTTTGTCATTAAAATAATGTCTGACAACCGTGTCTGTTATGAGATAGTAACTCATCGATGAAAACAATGGTGGAGAGTGGCTCGATTTTGATGCAATGATGGTTG